GCTCTCCCTCCCTTCTAAAATAAAAAGTCTCCAATACATTCCAATAACTTGTTAGATGATCTCTGTCCTGCTGTGTCACTTTCCCAAAATATGTCTGGGTAGTTGAAGTCCCCCATCGGTGCCAAGTTTTCTGCTTTGGATGATTTTTTTTTTTTTTAAAGCCTCATCCACCTCTTCCTTGTTAGATGGTCTGTAATAGACCCCCTAGCATGACATCACCTTTGGTTTTTTTTACCCTTACCCAGAGACTCTCAATAAATCTATGTCCATCTCCACCTCAGTCCAAGTGTGCATGTTTTTAGTATACAAGGCAACACCTCCTCCCTTTTTTCCCTGCTTATGTTTCCTGGGCAAGCTGTACCCTTCTATACCAATATTGCAGTCAGACGTGTTCTCACCAAATTTCTGTGATGCCAACTATGTCGTAGTTATGTTTATTTACTAGCATTTCATATAAGAAATCTGTTAAAGCATTCCACATCTACTTTAACTGACTCCTTTACAGACTGTGGCCTTTCCTCCATGCCTATGATTGGCTCTGCTCTGGAGTATAACAGAAGCAGACCTATGATTAGGCTCTTGACCATGTTGCTTTGTCCTCCTTCCTACTGAACTCCCTTGACAGAGTGATTGTGATTTTTCTTTCTTTGTGTAGACTCATATTTGCTTGGGGGGGGGGGGGGCAGTTTCCAGGTAAAGAGGCTGCAGATAGAAAAGGGGCTGGTGAGCCATTAAACAGAACTAAAAGTCTTAGAAAAATGTTCTTGACCTTCCCCTAGAATGGTCCAGAGACCAATGAAAATTGCTTGACCAAACAGATCTATTTTAAGGTACGTCTTAAAGCTGCCCCATTTATGGGCCCCAGAGGTATGAGCCCTTCACTGAGCATATGCTGCTGCCAGTCTCTGAGTGCTGAGTCCAAAGGAACAGCATCCCATTTATTTGCTTGGGTCTAGGGGCAGAGGTTCATCCTCAGATAACTAGTAGGTCCCTGGTCATGTATGTCTTTTTCCAGTGATAGCTGCCCTTAGTGGTGGTGTAGCTGTGAAAACTTCCTAGGACCAGATCCTTGGAAAGAGAGATTGCTTCTTTAGTCAGATGTACATTCTTTTCCTTGTGGGCCTATCTTTTGTTTCACCAGTACCGTTTCTGCCTCTTAATATAACTGGGGAGTGAAACCATAGGAAAAGGGGCCGTTGGCTGCATTGCTCCTGTTTTCAAGACAAAGTGCTTTTAAAGACTAAAGGTGACTAAAACTTAGTAAAGTCCAGCCATAATGTGAATGGAGAAAAATGTATGGCGAGTAGAGGTTACTTCAGGATACTCACCACTGCTAGATATATTCTCTGATCTCTGAGAAGTGATGAGATCTCCAGAGTACTGTAAATTCCTTCTTCAGTGTCAGCATTACAAACCTGAAGCTAGAGCTCTAAGGAAACTGAGACCCTGAGTTCCTGTACTAGGGTAATAAAGACCTACAAATGGCTGCCCGTAAAGGGCCTGCTATTCTGGGTCTGGGCCATCTATGGATTTTCATGGGTGCCAAAAGTATAAAATATTCTGAATCCTTCTCTTTATTCTATAAAAACTGGCTTTTCATACTGAACCAGGAAAGTTATGCTTCCTTGTTTTGACAGTAGCAAGTCCTTAGTGGGCCTAAGAGGAAGGCATAAGACCTATGAAGGAACTCTGAAAGAATTGGGTTTGTTTAGTTTAGAAAAGAGAAGATTGAGGGGGGGGGGACGGGAGAGCGGTTTTCAAGTATCTTAAAGGGTGTCATAAGGAGGAGGGAGAAAACTTGTTCATCTTGGCCTCTGAGGATAGAACGAGAAGCAATGGGCTTAAACTGCAGCAAGGGAGGTTTAGGTTGGACATTAGGAAAAAGTTCCTAACTGTCAGGGTAGTCAAACACTGGAATAAATTGCCCAGGGAGGTTGTGGAATCCCTATCTCTGGGGATAACTGTCTATCAGGGATGGTCTAGACAGTATTTGGTCCTGCCATGAGGGCAGGGGACTGGACTCTGACCTCTTGAGGTCCCTTCCAGTCCTAGTATTCTATGATAAGACCACAACATTTATAATGCCTCCCATTGTATAATGCCATATTCCACAGCGGGAAGGTCCAGATTTCTTTGACTCCCCTGACCCACAAGATTCAATAACTACCACAACTTTTCTCCTTCTATAACTAGAGCTACTGTTCTTAGTCATAGAATTATCTAATCCATTCTTCTAGTTTGAACTATAAATAGCTCAGCAATAATTCTGTAAATATTAAGATTTTTAATAACATTTGTAATATCCTGCAACCTTGAAATGTCCTAAACTATTGCTTCAGGTATGTCCTGCTGCAATGAGTTCCACAGATTAATTATTCAGGTATGTGAGATGAAGTATTTCCAACTCTCTGCATCAGCTCTGTTAGAGGTGGTGTGTCCCTCTCCTAATATAGCAGTGAGCATTTCAGGTGGTTTAATTCTGGCAGAACTTTTATATAATATTCTATTTAGGGGAAAAAACATGAACATACACAGGCACCAGAGTCATATAGTCTCATTCTGATATTCCTTCTTTCAGTACATTCACTGGCTTCTGTGATAAGACTAGATAAGGTTTTTTTAGTTTATTTTTTTCTTTCTTTAATTTAGACTCCCCCCTCCCCCCCATTTTAATAGTCTATTCTGGGAAATTATCGATCAAAAGGGAGAAATGAGACACACGCACACTAATAGGCGCTAAGTACATATTGACACAAGATGTAATCATTGTGGAAGCTTAGAAAGAGCTGAATCAGCAGGGACTTCCCTGCCAAAAACACACAAGCTATAATTTAATTTAAAAAAAACCCCACAATGTCCAGAGAGTTTACACCTTTGCACAAAAGGCTCTTTGTGTGAAAATATTAAACCAACTCAGAAAGAAAGTAAACACTAGAAAAGGTCTATTTCTATAGCAGTTGCAGAGTTGACTGACTTGTTAACTTTTAGAGAGCTTTCCAAGCCCAAGGCCAGACATGAAGGGTTCAACAGAGCTGGAGTATTCAGCCATTTTATGTATTGATTTGAGGTATTAGTGAAAATTAATTATAGTAAGTTTATCTTAGTGTCAGTTTTTAATAGGTCTTTGTGTTAAACACACACTGAAAAGCTACAGTTTGAATAGTAGTGTTTCATGCCCTTCCTGACCACTGCATGCACCTATGCTTAAGCTTCTGAAAACCAGGAGTTAAAGAAACACCAGCCCTGCCACAAAACCTTAATTCTGTCCACAGGAGTTGACAAGAGCCATGGGAAATGTATAGTAAGTATATTTCAGGCAGGGCTGCCCTATAATAAGCAGATTCAAGCCATTACTAAGTCAATGTGCCTTTTTCTGTCCTCTAGAATTGTATTCTCTCATTTGTCTGTTTATGCTTCAACTGCCCTTCTCTGCATTCAGGATAGCTAGATTGCCTGGTGCAGCAGCTCATGATGAGGGGTGCCTCTGTGTCCGGAAGGATCAGGGATCCCTCATTTCTGTGCTACATTGTGGGCTGGACAATAAAAGAACATGGTAGTCTGTTCTTGCTATGTGGTTCTGGAGTTATCTGCTACCAAATGGCAGGATACATAGAAGTGCAGATGCTATCCCAGAAGGTGTCCTTTGGACAAGGGAGCTGGGTGGCTTGTGAAGAGTTGGTGCAGTGGTGGAGTGTAGTGAGGACACAAACTGACCATTTCTCTTGCTGTCCCCATGTACTGTGAGCCCCATCATGCCATGTCATCTGGAAGGATAGAGAGCTATGAAGAAGGGCAGGGCATTTCTCAAAGAGGGAAGAATAAGTTGCTGATGGGGCTAGCATGTGCCTTAACCCTTTAGTCCAGGCCTGGGCAAAATACGGCCCACCGGCTGGATCCGGCCCGCTAAGCCACCAGATCTGGCCTTGGACACTGCAGGGAGCCCCAAGCAGACTCCCCACTTGCTTTGCCTCACCCGCACACCACTCAAACATGGCTGTGGGGTGGTTTCACTTTAACTGAGCCAGGAGGGGAGAAAGCTTTAAGAGCTGCTCCCACCCCCAACACAATCCCATTAGCCAGCTTCTGGCCAGAAACTGGCCATTGGGAGCTGCCTGTTTCAATAACAGGTAGCCACCAAGCACAAGGGGCTCATAGTTCTTCACAGAGCACATGGCTGCAGCCTGTGTGGGGGCAAGGCAGGCAGGGAAGCTGATTTAGGAACGGGCTGCTGGCTGATAGGCTCTGGCCAGGAGACTTTTCTCTAGCACCTCAGCCCCTCCCTCAACTCTCTCTTCCCTCCCCCCCTCCACATACCCAAACCCTTGGACACCAATTTTCTGCCCTAGCTCACAATCCAACCTCCTGGACTCCAGTCCAGCGCCCCAGATCACAACTGTCTCCTTCCCCCAAACTCTGTCCCTTACCCCAAGCTCCCTTCTGCACCCAACCTCCATCCTAGACCCTGCACTTCCTCCATTAATATCATGGAAGGGTGTGGCTCTCGACCACTTTCCAAATTCTTAAAAACTATTTCCTGTCTCTGCTTTTCAGAAGTGCTCTTGACATCCTGGAAGGGTATGTGGTACTGCCCGTCATCCTTTATAAAGTTTTTGAGCAATAAATTGCCATGGGGAGAAGGGGGAAGGGGGTAACTAATGAGCAGCAAGGAGCACTGGAGACAGCAACAGGGAGTAGAGGGAAACCCCACACTTCCTTCTTTGAAGAGTGGGAGGGGATCTGCATAACCATTTGCTACACAGAAAGTCCACAGAGGTGAGACATGACCCATTCAGCCCAACTGCTGTTCACCCCCACTTTCCCCAGTCTGCCTCAGTGCCTGCTGTATAATATCCATGTTAGAGGAATTTGAATATTAAACTTAGCTCCTCCTTTCTGCAAAGTGGACATGTATCTGAGGAAGTCATGGACCAAATGACTCCATATTTCCATCACAAATTCTAGCCCTAGCCTTGAAGTGGCATCACAATGTTCTAGAGGATTTGTTCTGCCACAACAGTTCAGGTGGCACCAGGACTTCCATATGAACAGGGAGAAAAGGGGGTGTGCTATCATTTTTAAATGGTTGGTGTCATCTGTGCACTGCTTGATACTTCTGTAGCGGTTTGGGGGTTGCTGAGGGGGAGGAATGTCATTTGAGGTTTGCCATGATTGTTTTAAACAAGAATATCTAATGCCAATTTTTCTACAGTATGACATTTTTTCAGACCCCCCACATTCACAGTAATTACAGCATTGGAAAGGCAAGCTAGATAGGTGCATGAGCGAGGATCAGAGATTGTAGAAACCTGAAATTGGTTTTGTGTTTGGTTTTCCATGATAAATGTAAGTTACTGTTGTGACAATACCCTGGCACCAGTTCTTAATCCCAGCTTTATTTGCAGCTCTCCCGTTGAGAAACCAGGGCCAGCTCCTACTTTGGAATATAAAGCATTAGCCTGTCTGCCCTCAGACAAAATCAGTGTTTAACTGAGAGAGGCAGCAAAATAGAGCTAAGAGTCTGAGACTTAATATCTGGATTCTACTCCCAGCTCTGCACATGGCTTGATAGGTGACCTTGGCAAAAGTCATATCACCTCAGTTTCCACATCTGCAAAACAGGGATAATGAAATCCATTGTAAAGCAAATACCTAATGTTTTCATAAGTAGCTAAGAGCTAGGTTTTTTTATTAATATCAATTTATTGATCTTGATTAAAAAATAGACAAATCCTATAATGAGCTGACTAGCGCACCGTAGTCTGGAATCAGAAATGTCCACTTTGCATTGTAGATCCTGCAATGATGTCATGTAATATAGTGTCTCCTTTGGCTCAAACAAAAGCTAATCATGGAGCAGGAGAATTTGAGTTCTCTCCCTGCTGTAGTGGCCAGCCTCATGGCTATGAAGTTTGATACGTTTTGTGTCTATTGATCTTTACATTTAATCTTCTAAATTGTTCTGCCAACTAAATATCACTGAAATGATTTTTCCCCCCTGTTCATCATTTAATTTTCTTGTATATTTTATCCTTTTGCAAGCATGGCCAGCACTGTTAATATTTTCATTATCTTAACTTTCCACACTGCTGTGCTCTGCCTGAACAATTCTAGTTCTCATACCTAACCTCTCAGGCCGGGAACAAAGTCTGTGGTGTCTTAGCTGGTTGCTATGGAGAGGGCTGTAATGGTATTAGGAAAAGCAGCAAAATATTACAGAAGTTTTCAACCCTCTCTAAACAATTATAAATCCATTCCCTCCCCATAGCAGCCAATCAGCAGTCAGCTTCCCATATATTCTATCTCAGATTTCAAACAAGCACATTGTTCCTGAGGCAGAGGGTTCTCTGACAGCAGTGAAGATCATCACCCGGCACTTGCTAGTTGGCCAAGAATGATTAGTGTTTAAGAGTCGCTCCTGGCTGATGGGCACTCAGAGGCCTCTCCTTTCTGGTGCCAGTGTCCATGTCCCCTATACAGCTGCCATTAGCGGTAGACACACTGTGGATACTGAACTAACACAGAATAATTGAGGGCCGTTCTGTAATCTCCATGTGTGAGTTAGCAATGCCCCTTCTGCCCCTCGAGGTGATCTCTCCAGGTCAAGCATACAATGTGGAATAATGGGAAAGACTTCATGGTCTCTGACTCTTCTGTGCTTATGTGGTGCATAGAGGGCTTCCTTCTCCAGGGCTTTCAATCTGATGTCTGAAACCAGTATCTAAGGAAAAATCATAATGAAAACAACCAACAGACTACTGCCTGTCTGTAGGGACCTTTTCATGATATGCCTAAGGCTTATCACATCATTTTGTTCAATCTTTATTTAAACACCTATCTCTCTGACCATGGGACAGCCCTCATTTATACTGGTAGAAAAAACTGGGTGTAGTGGAGCCTCCTGACCACACACTGTCTATTCCATATACCCTAAGTTCCTATGTGCTGGGACTCTGGGGGCAACAGCTGATACGGGAGGCAGCAGGGCAGCCTCCTTATTATACACCAGCGGAGGGTTAACCTTCACGGGGGTAATCCTCCATTGGCCATCTTTGGCTGCCTTGTGTCACTTACAAGTGAATAGTGAAGTGTCCTTTGCAGACTGGAAAATCTGGCCCTTACTCTGCAATGCAAATTTATTTTTGCTGGTCCCTGGAGTGATTGGTTGTCAGAGGGTTCAGTGTATTGTAAGTATCTCATAAGGTAGAAGAGGTTCTGTTGATGGCATGTTGTGGGCATCAGAGTTCCAAAGCACATATAACAGTATGCCACCATCAGTTCCCCTCAAAGCATGTTCATTTATAAGCAACTAAAAATTGAAGTAATGGTGCCTGGCATTTCTCAAGTGCAGCAATTCTCAAATCATGGGTTGGGACTTCGAAGTGGGTCCTGACTCTGTTTTAATGGGATCAGCAGGGCTGGTGTTAGACTTACTGGAGTCTGGGGCTGAAGCCCAAGCTTCAGAGCCCAGAGTTGAAGCTAAAGTTTGAGGGCTTCAGCCCTGGGTTGCAAGGCTGAGGTTATAGGCCTTTTGCCTGGGGCTGAAGCCCTTGGGCTTCAGCTTTGGCCCCACCCCCGCCCAGGACAGTGAGGATTGGGCAAGCTCAGGCTTTGGTTTCGTCTCCTGGGCTCATGTAATTTTCGTTGTCAGAAGGGGCTCATGGTGCAATGAAATTTGAGAACCCCTGGTGTTTTCTTTTAGACTCTCAATGGAATTTACATACGATTGATTCTTGCAGTCCTCCTCTGCAGTTGCTTCCATTATCTCCATTTTATTGATGGGAACACTGAGGCACATAGAGACAGTGACTTATCCAAGGCACAGCTGGGATTAGAATCAGATCTGTCTTCCAGTCCAGTACTGTAACACCTTAGTCTATGATCACCTCTTATACACACTGTGTGCTCTAAAATGGTGAGCACTAAGGAATTGCTTGATACCTATGTTCCTTCATCCTGCCGGTTTGAATAGCGATTTCTGACTGAAAAGCCATCCAAACCCAGCAATCTCACTTCTAATTTAATAGTCCCCAGAGGTGCATGTCCCCAGCTCCATGCAACCTGAAAAGAAAAATAAAGTCCCTGTTAAAACATAGTGACCAGTCCTATATCTGCTAATATCACACCAGTGACATTACTGAAATGCCAGCTATTGGCTGTAGGTTTCCTGAGCTGTACCATGCTGCCTATACATTTGGGTTCATGGTTTAAATAGGAAAATCAGAATTCGCCAGTTTGGGCTTCTGTTCCACATAAACATAGCCACTGCGGGAAGCCCATGTTATCACACAAACCCCAGAAGGCAAATACAGTAGACTTCCGATAATCTGGCACCTTTAGGACCCAGGGGGTGCCAGATTATCAAATATGCCGGACTATCAGAAGGGGGGGGCTATGAGGGGTCTGGGGTGGCATCCCTCCACCCCACCCCAGACCCCTCATAGCTCCCCCTTCTGATAGTCTGGCTCTGTCCCAGGCATCCCTGATTCAGCAGCGGCTGAATCGGGGATGTCTGCGGCAGAGCAGCTGGGGGGCTGCCGGGGTGGTCCAGTAGCGCTGCCCCTCGGCACTGCGAGACCAACCCGGCAGTACCCCAGCTGCTCTTGGGGACGCCTCGGACAGAGCAGCTGGGGTGCTGCTGGGTTGGTCCCGTAGCCCTGCCCCTCGGCGCTGCAGGACCAACCGGGCAGCACCCCAGCTGCTCTGCTCCAGGTGCCCCTCTTCAGCTGCTGCTGAAACTGACCAGTGGCTGATTCCCGGAAGCCAGGGGCAGAGCTGCTCTGCCCTGGGCTTCTCAGAGTCAGCCGCTGATCAGTTTCAGCAGCGGCTAACTCGGGAAGCTGAGGGGCAGTGCTACGGGACCAACCGGGCAGCACCCCAGCTGCTCTGCTCCAGGTGCCCCTCTTCAGCTGCTGCTGAAACTGACCAGTGGCTGATTCCCGGAAGCCAGGGGCAGAGCTGCTCTGCCCTGGGCTTCTCAGAGTCAGCCGCTGATCAGTTTCAGCAGCGGCTAACTCGGGAAGCTGAGGGGCAGTGCTACGGGACCAACCTGGCAGCACCCCAGCTGCTTTGCCCCTGGCTTGCCCGATTCAGCTGCTGGTCAGTTTCAGCAGCGGCTGAATTGGGGAAGCCGGGCGCAGAGCAACTTCTATTGTCCGGCTGCCCCGAGCACTTCTGGGTTCCTGATGATGCTGGACCATCAGGAGTGCCAAAGCATTGGATGCCGGACTAATGGAGTTTTATTGTAGTTGTAATACTTTGCACTTACATCATAATTTTCTTCCGAAGCTTTCAAAGTGCAAACGCTACCATTAGTTTGTTTTATGGATGGGGAAACCAAGGCACAAATGCATTACTTCTCTATAAAAATGAGTAGTCCTGTGACACCTTAGAGACTAATATAGGTCGTAACATGAGCTTTCGTAGGCAATACCCACTTAGTCAGATGAGATGAGATTGAGATTAGGTAGCCATGAACTCAGGCTCAAGTCCTTCCTTCTACTGGGTACCAGACAGTTTTTGAAGCCAGTTTAAGGATTTAGTCCTAATATTCCAACCAATTAATAGTTCAAGCTGTAGCTACATTAAAGACTCCCTTTTTTGTCAAACAATACAAGTCATGGTCCTCTGGGACACTGCAGCTCACAAAACTGAGGATGAATCAATCTTGGTAAAGAGGACTTGGTTATGGAACGGACTTCCAGAGCTGAATGCAGAGTTTGACAAGCTTTAGGAAATGCTGCAAAACCTCCTCGTTGGAAGGTTCCTCTGTCCTCCTAAGCGTGATAAGGCAGCCATCTATCCAAAACCCTCCCTGAAAGTAATTAACTTAAAAACTCCAATAGAAGTAACTTAAGCATGTTCCCAAAACCCCACCCAAAGCAGTTTTCATTTCAAAAAGGAAGAAACTCCTGGAAACTCCACTACAGCCTTTGCTATTGTTACTGGTTTTTACATGGAAGGTAATCAACTATTACACAGATGGGGAGCAGGCTAAAATAATAAAACACTATGGCTGTGTCTGCATTCAATGACATGCATCTGACATGCATCAATGACACTTTGCTCACAAAAGCTTATGCTCCTACACTTCAGTTAGTCTATAAGGTGCCACAGGACTCCTCGCCGCCAATGTAGACGTAGCCTATGGTAGGTGGATAGAGAGGGGAAGTAATGTGCCCATTTACACGATGAGTTGTTAAACCTGGGAATGTAACCCATCTTCAAATTTCTAGTCACTGTTATACTTGCTAAATAAAAGTGCTTTCCTCAAAATGCGTGTTCTCTTGCCACTTACAGAATGTCACGTGATGCTAGAAGCTGATTCTGTTACCATGATTTTCAATGATATGGACCACAGATGTTTTTATAGGAATAGAAGATAGTTCCCCATCGATTAGATAACCACAGGCCACTTTGAAATGTGTATGTGAAGGATGTGGGGCTACCCTCCTATTGAGATTGTTTTTTCAAGCCCAAGCTATAAAGAAAACTCAGCTAGCCACAACAATCACAAAGTGGGTGGGTGGGTGGGAGAGAGAGGGAATCTGAGCTTTTACTACTCAGATTCTGCAGGAAGCAAGATGAGACGCAAGATAACTGAGCAGCTTAAGACTGAATCAGGCTTTGGCAGTGGAATGTTGCTTCATTGCCCTCAAAGAGCCATCATGCTGGGGGACTAGAGGGAAAAGAAGAAAGCAAGGAATGCACCAGTTTTATGTCCATACATTTCTGGGCTGGCTCCTCAATTCTGCCTGTCTGTCTGTTCTTGGGTTCTCAGAGCCCTGCAGCGGCAGCAGCCCTCCTGCCTCTCTGAGAAAAGAGGAAAAGTGGAGACAGTTATCATAGAATCATAGAGCTGGAAGAGACCTTAGAAGGCCATCAAGTCCAGCCCCCTGCCCAAGGCAAAACTAATCCCAATTAAAACAACCCAGCCAGGGCTTTGTCAAGCTGGGACTTAAACACCCCTAGGGATGGAGACTCCACTACTTCCCTAGGTAACCCATCCCAGTGCTTCACCACCCTCCTAGTGAAATAGTTTTTCCTAATATCCAACCTGGACCTCTCCCACCGCGACTTGAGACCATTGTTCCTTGTTCTGCCATCCATCACTACTGTGAGCAGCCTTTCTCCATCCTTCTTCTATGGAACCTCCCTTCAGGAAGTCGAAGGCTGCTATCAAATCCCCCCTTACTCTTTTCTTCTGCAGACTAAATAGACCCAACTCCCTCAGCCTCTCCTCATATCATCCTTCAGCTCCTAAAAACTGTCTTGTACGAGCTAAACAGCCGCACATGTGGGGTTTGTAAGAAGACAGTTGTCTGTTCCAGTCTTTCTTTGGGGCTGAACCAGAATCCTGTGTCCAAACAACATACTGAATCCCTGAAGCAGCTCTAGTCTGGATCCAGACTGGATGGCTCCATCCCCACAGCAAAGAGAGTTCAGTTTTTCAAGCACTGGGTGCCTGCCATATACATATCTCCTGCGCTGAGCCAAGTGAATGGTCCCCAGATAGAGGCAGTAGCCTGGGACTCACCTGGCTACAATTACACTGAGCACAGATATAGGCAATGGCATGCATCCATTCTACTATGCTGCCTATAGGAAATAGACTTTCTGGAGTATATGGCAGCATTTCATTGAGAGTGTCCCTTCCTGCTAACCCTAGTAAAAATACCTGAGATTGTTTTCTGTTACTGGGCTTTTGTTCGGGCCTAAAGACATCTCAAACTAGGCTCTTCAAAAATCTCTTCTCTGTCCATATGGCACCCAGTTTATTGGGGCCATGAATCCAACTAGACATTATGGGCACTATGATAATACAAATAAATAATGAATTGATAGTCAATGAAAGACTAGTAAATAATAGCACAAAATTAGGATACAATTCAACAATGTGAATTAGCTAACCAGAACATCACAAACTGTTCTCCTTGACAACATTTTGACCTCTACCCTGCTCTAAATCATTCATGCACAGTCATATCACATGAATGGTCACCCAAAATGGCTCAACTTCGGTGATATTATTGACATATTTGTCCCATTGCTGTGTTTATGGTTTGGCAGCAAATAGGTAAAGTGTTAGGATTATTTAAATATCAGTGAGGAAAAGTGAGTGGGGTAGTGGTTTCAATATATTTTAACATCTGAGCTAAACAAGTATAGAAAATCTTGCAAATATTTTCTGTGGCTATAAAATAAGTTATCAGGGGAACTGGAGATGTCATTAGGTAGAGTGATCTAAAATGTAAAAATATAGTAATATGTTAGCATGTTTTCAATGCATTTCAGCAACATGTATATACTGTAGATTTTTTGTTATATCTATTTTGATCATGATAGTGGCCTCCTTTGGAAATCACTGAGAGCTACTGATGAAAGTGCTAGATAAGAGCTAAGTTATCTTTGTCTAAAATAGATTAGGTCTTTTATAATGATTTAAATCAATGACTCTTAGAATCATAGAACCATAGAGCTGGAAGAGACCTTAGAAGGCCATCAAGTCCAGCCCCCTGCCCAAGGCAGGACCAATCCCAATTAAATCAACCCAGCCAGGGCTTTGTCAAGCTGAGACTTAAACACCCCTAGGGATGGAGACTCCACTACTTCCCTAGGTAATCCATTCCAGTGTTTCACCAACCTCCTAGTGAAATAGTATTTCCTAATATCCAACCTGGACCTCTCCCACTGAAACTTGAGACCATTGTTCCTTTTTCTGCCATCCATCACCACTGTGAACAGCCGTTCTCCAACCTCTTTGGAACCTCCCTTCAGGAAGTTGAAGACTGCTATCAACTCCCCCCTCACTCTTCTCTTCTGCAGACTAAATAGACCCAACTCCCTCAGCCTCTCCTTGTAGGTCATATGCTCCAGCCCCCTAATCATTTTGGTTGCCACAAAAACTGCAGTTTACGAAGGACAGCCCCTTGCAATAATTTAACTTTGAGATGACAAAAGCATGCATAACATGGTGAAACTGCACCCACAGGAAAAAAGACATAACTTCCTTCCCAAATACATATGTTAAGCACACTTGACAATCGTTGATACCTGTGAATGCAGCAGAAGCAACCAAAGTGCTAGTGCAGTCTAGGGATTTTAAATATTGGTTAATAGAATAGTGGATTAATCTCATGAATTCTTATCGGTTAGTTGACTATTCTAGAGTCTCCGGGCAGACCCTATCCGGGAGGGAGGAGTCTGAGCTGCCAGACCTGGCCCAAGCTGGAACTGAGCCGGGCTACCTGCCTGACTCCTAATACACTTTAAATGCAGAGCCGCAGTGGGGGAATGCCCAGAACCCAGTGCAAGCTGGGACTGAGCTGGGTTGCTGGTAATGGATTGGGGGGAAATGCATGTATTCTCTAGCATTAACCTATAAGTTTTGCTTATTGGTTAATCGACTATACGCTTACACTCCTAGTGCAAACATAGCCTGAGAGACATAAATCCACTCATGGGCACAGCGACTGTGTTGTCTTGTGGATTCATAGAATCATAGAACTGGAAGAGACCTCAGAAGGTCATCAAGTCCAGCCCCCTGCTCTAGGCAGGACCAATTCCAACTAAATCAACCCAGCCAGGGCTTTGTCAAGCTGAGACTTAAACACCTCTAGGGATGGAGACTCCACTACTTCCCTAGGTAACCCATTCCAGTGCTTCACCACCCTCCTAGTGAAATAGTTTTTCCTAATATCCAACCTGGACCTCATCCACCACAACTTGAGACCATTGCTCCTTGTTCTGCCATCTGTCACTACTGAGAACAACCTCTCTCCATCCTCTT